ATGATTAACAACGTATGGAAATATATACACATACACACACAATATAATTACCACAGTTTAGTAATGCTAAATAAGTGGAAATTAATGTGATGCTAATAATGATGGATTGAAAATGTTCCCTTTGTTCCTGTGGGAGACGTTCAATAAAATAATTGAACTTGCTACAGGTGACATGGTTGTATTTAGCAAGAATCCCCTGGTAATTTCAGAATTTCAGAGTAGCAGAGGAGTAGCTCTTGTGACCAAAAATGTCCAAGCACTTTTAGTCTTTATGAGGGCCGTTTTCAAACGATGTTGCCTGTTGCATTCATTCACCACATCTACAACCAAAGAGATGGGGCAGCGTGTGAAAACAAAAACTCTGAATGCCTAGCCAGAACACAGTATTTGCCATCTGCTCTCTTACAGAATCAGAGGAGCAGTGGCCAGGGTTTGCCAAATTGTCTTCGAAACTCCAATAATGCCTCATTTGTAGGTAAAGCCACTCGTGGAATTTTGTGTATGAAGAATATCCAACAACCTATGTTGGGTCTCCTGGATTTCTTCTAATGGTATTTGCAGAGTATCAGTCACTCTCTTCATCAAGTTCTGAAACTTTGAAATCATCTATAGTAGGTGGAGGAGGGGTAACAGCCTCACCTGGAGAGGATGATGAAATATTAATCTGAAGGGTAACCTCCTCATCGGCTCTTTTTTCTTGTTCTTTCAACAATTCTTCTCATGACTGGGATTGATGCGGAGGGGTGGGGGGGGGGGGAGGAGGAAACAGGAGAGTGCTGTCTGTGGGATTCCGAGAGTTCAGTGCCTTGGAGAACTGCTGGCAGTAGGCTGCTCAAGGATCTCAATATGGCCATTGGGGAAGGCCAGAGATACCAAGAAAGATGAGGAACAGTTTGAGACTGCTTGTGTTTTGAAGTGTTCCTCAAGGAGACAGATTCATGGGAATCAGACCTGGGTTGATAATCAAAGGAGCCTTGTATGGAAATTTGTGAGTCAGAAGAGCTGTCTTCTGCATAGTCCAGAATGGGGGCAGACAATGGTGGAGTACTAGGAAGTGTCTGTCTGTCCACATGGGTACCAGGGAAACACTAGCAATTGTTATTGATAATAACTGGTATCAATTGTTGATTGAACGATAGATAATGTACTGGAGATAATTCTGGTTGTGATACTGGAAGTCTTGCTGAACTCAACAAGAGGGTACTCAGGTTCATCAGAGATTAATAAGCTTCTGGAGAATCAAAACTGCTTCAGTACTGAGTGAATCTGTGCAGAAACTAGACGAGTCTCAGATGTAGGAGGCTCTGGTGCAGAGTGCACTAATGTCAGCTGAACGACTGATCTGGGTACCGAAGCAGCAGCAGAGGTCTGATACCAGTCAGCTCTGTGTCCTTGGGGAACCAGGGCGCAGTATCCAGCCTGTCTGACTCATGAAAGCACATTCCCCCCCACCCCCAGCCTCTGCTTGAACCAAAACCGATCAGAGAAAAGACTTGCAGAGAGCAGTGAAGGGCAGTGGGAGACACACCTAAACCCCTCCTGACAAGGTGACAGAATTAAGGCAACTCCCCTAGCCTCATTGGCATCAAAGATGGGACAAGGAGGCATCTCCATTAGCATACAGAATGGAGAACAGAGATTCCAAGGCAAGAACTGCACTGAACTCTAAGACCAGAAAAGCAGGGAAGCACTGCATCACTGGGAATCTCTGCTCCAGATGTTAATGAACCTACGCCTGCACACACCCACTCAGCAGTTATCAGACCAATTCTAGTAATGAATCTTTGATTGATATCCAAAATACCAAAGCAGTCTAACTGCATTGTGAGCTCCCTGGAAGAAAAAACACGCATAGCTAGGAGTGATCAGCCCCTATTGTCTAGCCCAGGGGTCGGCAACCTCTGGCACGTGGTTCGCCAGGGTCAGCCCCCTGGCGGGTCAGGCCAGTTTGTTTACCTGCCGCATCTAGCCTAAAGAAAACCCTTGAGTCATCAGTTTACCCATAAACAAATCTAGTGTTCTCCCTTGAACCATTGTGGTTTCCCTACAAAAAAACCTACCCACACTCCAGTAAGTGTTCTGATGCATGGATCCAAACTCTGCATTAGTTCCACTGGGGATTTCATCTTCTCCTGTCTGATCATGCTGGGGGCTCTGCCTGTCTCCAGCACTCAGGATCCTGAGCTACCACCATCACCTGGGAACCCTGAACAATTCAAGCTTCAGAGAATGGGTGAGATGCAGCTCTCTCTCTTTCTCTGTTTTCTTTTCTACCTCAGGTATAACTTTCTAACCTTGACTTGTTTTCTATATATGACTTTTGTAACCTTTAATAATGTAACTGTTATGTTGGTTTAGGCTCTTCTTGTGTAGTTATCACTATTATTCAATAAATAACTTTTCTGGTTAAGCTAGTTGCTTCCCTCTCTCTCTCTCTGAATTTTACTCTTTTGTGTTTTTAGCTTCCCCATTTACTCTGCAGCAACGCTTCTCTTACCTAAGCTAAAGATCTCTGTAGCGCCCAAAAATACTGTGGGGTTTGCTCATCAAGTGGGTTACTACCAGTACAATTGTAACATGAAAGTGGGGATAGGGACGTGCTTAACCTGTGACATACGAGGGTGACAGCTTGGAAGTGCTGCTTGACCCAGACTACTGAGTCGAGGGGCATATAAGGGTGGCAGCTTGAATGTGCTGCTTGACCCAGTCCGCGGAGTCCGGGGGCATAGAAGGGTGGCAGCCTGAAAGTGTTCAACCCAGCCTGCTCAGGCATACTCTATTCCAATGCGGTACCTGCAGCATATAAGGGTTGCAGCTTGAAAGTGCTGCTTGGCAGCCCACTCAGAGAGCGAGTGTGTGTGTGTGGGGGGGGGGGGGGGGGG